AATTTCCGATAGAAGGCCTTTTCAATTTCAAAAAGCATATTGTCAGATTTTCATTTGTTATTAATTTTGTATCTCCTTAGTAGGCCTAAGTAAACGGAAAGTTTTTGTTTTATTGTATCCTGTGCTGTGATATTTTTTGGATTATATTGTGAGTGTCTTGCTGTGGTTAGCACTATTTTTGCAGCTCTTCTGATTACTTTTCTACTTGTTATTCCTCAAATGTTTGTAATTAATGCAAAGATATAAAAGTTAATGAAAGTTCTAAAAACTGCAGTTGGTGAAATTGTTGTTCCTTAAAGGCATTTATTGCATCGGTAGTTAGCTTTAACCACCGAATGTTCCTGAAAATAGCCCGTAGATTATCCATACACATATGACCATAATCCACCTTGGATTCAAAACATACCATTATATAATTTTGAACTTTCGTCATTTGATAAAAACTCCAATAATCTCTATTATGTTATTTCCCATTTTGGAAAAATCCTTAGTCGTTATAAAAATCATACCCAGATATACACTGATGGTTCAAAATCATCCCACTTCAAAATTATTCAAAATATGAGGGCATCCTCAAAAATTAGCATAATAGTTTGTTTAAAAGTTCTTATTTTGCAATGTATTTTGTTATTTTGATAGTTATGATGTTATAAATAGATTAGGATGAGTAAATTTGTTATATTGGGATATTTTGTGAATGACAGTGATATGGGACAGTGAATTCAGGTGAAGTTGAACAGAAAGAAACATTTGAAATAATAAATATGGATTAAAATATTGTCATTTACTAATTTAAGATGTTTAATTTATATATAAGTTCTAATTCTGATCTGAAAAGCCTAAATTTCGATAAAAATTCGAAATAGAAAAAAAAAAACGTTCTAGAAGTTTGAAAATAAAACGTCAAAAAGTCTTATATATCAAAATGGAATGAATCTAACTTCTTTAACTTCTTTAACTTCTTTTCGTTCGAGAATTTTCGCGAGCATTGAAATATCTATAAATACGCTGTCACTTTGAGCGTAAGGGGGATTAATTTTTGAGAAGTAAAAACTGTCACAATTAATTTTTGTAAAAGTCAAGTTTTCGTTAAATTTTCATAGAAAAGAAATCAAACAAAAAATAATATATAAATTATTAATAGTAAAAGTCAATCACAATAAAGAAGAAATAACATTTTACAAAAACTCAAGTATAAATTTTGATAAGAAGACAAATAATTTGAAAAGGTAGAAGTTAATGAACATTGTGGTCTATTTTGGAAAGCAATTTCATAAAAAGAAGGATAACCAGAGAATTAAGACATTGAGTGGCGATTAAGTACTTTATTTTAGAAAACAATTTCCTTTAGGCATTCAGTGACAAAAAGGTACCAATTTTGTTAGTATTGTTTAATTATTGTAATAACAATTTCAGTTTAAAGATGTTTCAAATTTATATTTAAATATTGTATTAATTAGATATATATGTTTGTGTCCTGATAATTGTAATAAAGATAATTTTAAAAGAATATACTTACAAACTAATTCTTCGAAACCCGCGACAAAACCTTATATATATATATATATATATATATATATATATATATATATATATATATATATATATATAATATATATATATATATATATATATATAAATTGACATTTTAGACATTGGGGTCCTACTATTTATACTGAACAAAAATTGAGCCCACGAATTTTTTTTTGTTTTTATTGTTACCTGAGCTTTAGCTTTAAGTTTTTGGAATTCTATTTTATTGTTAAGTATTTTATGTCTTTTGTATTTGTTAAAGGCTTTTTTTGGAAGCCTTGATGGATGTCTTACATTGTTCATTCCACCAAGGAACTGGTTTATGTTTTATAACAAGTGTAGTTTTTTTAAAAGTTACCTCAGCTGCATCTACGATGATGCTGAAGAAGGTTTGTATGTCTATGTCAATATTGTTGAATATTTTACAGTTTGTAACATGTTTTTCTACAATATCTTCAAATAATGTCCAATTTGCTTTCTTCATTTTCCTCTTAGAGGTGTGCTTTCCATTTTTGGACTTAAACAAGTTATTGGTGATTAATTACTTTTTAACGGGGAATAAGCCACAATTAAAGAACGATTCGGAAATCGTTCTCCAAGAACGATTTCCGAAGTGGAAATTGAAACGTCAATAAACGTATTTTTATCTTTAATTGTGGATTATTCCCAGTTAAATAGTAATTAATTTACAAAGCCACAAGAAAATAGCTTCAGAACAATACTAAGTTATTGGTGATTATTATTGGGTAATGATCACTGTTATAAGTGTAGTCCAATGTGTCCCATGTCATTAATGCAGAGATGTTATTATCTGCTATCGTTAAGTCAAAGGGAATCGATTCGCCTGTTTGTATATTGAATTTTGTAGGACGTCCTACGTTCAACAGTGATAAGTTATACTGATCTATTAATTCTTCAATAATAAGTCCCCTTTTGTCATCGTATGTAGAACCCCAAATACTGTAGTAAGCATTAAAATCACCTGTTAAAATACGCGGAGAAGGTATTTGTCTCACGAAGTCCTGTTTATCAATTAGTGGTCCTGGTGGTACGTAAATCGTGCAAATATTTATTTTTGTCATCCGTTATAGAAAAATAGCTACAACTTCTAAATGTGTTTGTAGGGGTAACCTACTTTCGGTTAATTTGTTATTTACAAGAATTGTAACTCCACCGCTTGCTATTTTTGGGTTTACTCTATTTTTTGAAAAACGTTGATAATTATGTAAACAAGATTATTGGTTGCTCTTAAGATTCGTTCCTAGTAGTCCAGTAAAATCATGTGTACAATTAGTTATAGTGGTGATTATATTTAGAGAACCTGGTGCGTTTTCTAACAGATCTATAAATTGGTCGTGATTAAGGATATATGGTGATGAATTTTCCTTTATTATTGTTTTTAAGTCAGTATCAGAACTTTTCTTGGGTTATTTGTTGCGTTTTTGTGTAGATTTCTTAAAATTTATTTCTGTTTGTTTGATTTTTCTGATAGAGCTGGTGTATATGTTGGTGAAGGTGAATTTCATCTTAGTCACGTTTACGGCTTGTCTGTTAAGTAATATCTAGTGATATAGCGCTGTTATTTTCTGGAACGAGTGGGCTTGAAGATTAATATAGACAAGACGAAGGTAATGGTGATTAGTAGAACACGAAATATGCAATTGAGTATAAGAATAAACAACAAGAACATCCAAAAGGTCCCCAAGTTCAGATATCTCGGTAGTTGGATAACTGAAGATCTAGATTCAGACATAGAGATACGTAGCAGGATTGAGCAAGCTAGAACAGCATTTACTAATATGAGAACCTTTCTAAGCAATAGTAGCCTTAACTTAATGCTTCGATATCGCTTTGTAAAATGTTACATTTACTCCATACTGCTATATGGTGTAGATACCTGGACCATAGAGGCAAATGTGATGAACTGATTAGAGGCCTTTGAAATGTGGGTATTTAGAAGACTACTCAAAATTCCCTGGACAGATCACACAACAAATGTCGAAGTATTAAATAGAATAAGCAGAGAACGAGAATTGCTGCCAATAATAAAAAGAAGAAAAACTGCTTCTCTGGGTCATATATTTCGAAATTCCATGTACCAGTTCTTAAAGCTTATTATGGAAGGGAAGATAGAAGGAAAACGAGGCATCGGAAGAAAGAAATACTCATGGCTTAAAAACATAAGGGATTGGACAAATCTCGATGCTCATGCACTTTTTAGAGCCACACAAGATCGAGAGGAGTATACCAGAATTGTCGCCAACATCCACTAATTTGATAGGACACCATAAGAGGAAGAAGAAGTTTCTGGAGGTGTAATGGTATTGGTAACTGAGGATTCTTTTATTTTGACATGTTCAGGATTTATACTGTTTGTAAAGGAACTAGATTGCTGATTGGAATATTTTTCTATAGTGTCCATTTGTGAAGGAGTGTTTAACGATGTTGAAATAGTTGGAGGTGTGGGTGATTGTTAAGAGTTTGTGGGTGTACACTAAAAATAAGAATAAGTCGGTTCTTGTTAGGAGAAAATTCTTTAAGTGGGATGAGTCTGTTCTAGGGGATAATTTGTTAAATTTTATAAAAGAGCATCACTTTTTAGTTGGGTAATCAAAGAGATTAGACTGTCGTTTGGTTTCGTCGTTTAAGAGTTTGGACCTATTTTTTTTCTCTGGGAATTTATCTATATTGGTGTATTCTATTGTATCCCAAGTAATTTGATGTAAAACCCGAGTAGATCAAATATACATTATAAATTGACTTCAGTGTTTGATACTAAAGTTAAGTACAGTTTATATTCAGTGCGATTTAAGATTCAATATCATCTAGGGTTACTGTAAGTGGTCTTACTATTAATATTAGCTCCAACTATCTCCAAAGTAAAGTAATCTACGGGCTATTTTTGACAACATTTTTCTGATCGTTGGTTAAAGCTAACTACCGATGCAATCAATTCCTGTAAGGAACAACGATTTCATCAATTGTACTTTTCAGATCTTTCATTAACTTTCACATATTTTCATTAACCAATATTAATTACAAACATTTAGGATTTAAATGAAAGTATCAGAAATTTAGTACTGTCTTTATATTTTATTTCTTTACTCGGTTTGCAGAAATTCAACTGGCATTGACTAATAACTTTTATATATTTAATGCAATGTCACATAAAATTTTCGTCTAAACTTACAAAATTAACCATCTTATTATTAAAAAGTTAAATAATTGCTATATCGATAATGTGTTATATTTAACAGGGATATTATCTAGTGATCTAATATTATAATGATTTACATAATAGCAGTTAATTACAAATGGTGACCATAAACAAAAATAGTAACATCCTGTCTTAAATGGTATTTATGTAAAAATTGCATGTTTACAAATTGTTATTAAAATTGTATAAAAATGTGTGAATTATGTGGGATATTAACTAAGTGATTTGTGCGAATGACGATAACAGTCACACAATATGAAACGATTTATATTTTTGGCGTTTTTAGTTTGTGGTGCAATGGTGAGTATATTTTGGTGGTTTCATGATTATCATCTACCATTTAATTTTTATATTACCCGAAATTACACTTAAAATCTTTTTAATTAAAAAAATATTTTTATTTTTCTTTTTTTCTTCTCTGTAATTCAAGGATTAGGCTTGCAACCTGTTCCGTCTTGTTTCTAGCCATCTTCTCTGGACTTATACTATCTATGAGCCAAGCAAATATTTTTCTTCTATTACTGCTCTTGCTCTTTAACTCTCCATCCGTTATTAGTCGTATATTATTGTATATCTCGATATGAACATACTAGTCGTGTTTTCCTTTTTACTTTTTCTATTATTTTTTATTCTTTATTAATTATTCGCTTCTTCTTCTTCTTTTTCGTCTAGCCATTCACGTCCACATCTGAACATAAGCCTCTTCAAGTCTTCCTTTCCATTGTTTTTTATTGTACGCTACTTGTAGCCAATTTTTCCCGGCAGTCCTTTTCAGATCATCTGTCCATCTCATAGAAGGTCTGCCATTAATTATTCGCAATAATTCGTAATTTAAAATGAGGCTTTTGTAAATATTGAATACTGATATAAATATTGTTGAATTTTATGCTGTTGAGTATTTTAAAGATCATTGATTATTGAGTATATAATACGCTGGGCACTCGTAATAACTAATGAACATTATTTTGGGTTTGAAAAAAATTACAAAAAGCAATGTGATCCTAAATCAAATAGGGGAGGAAATATTAAAAATGTATGAGAGTTTAAAAGATGACGACACTTCTCGGCTCAGAAAATTGACCCATGTAACGAAAGTCTACTCACGTTGCATTGTCATATATTGTATATAATATCATCATATTATAATATTTGTTTTTCTGTGCCATGTTTTGTAACGTAAGCAAACTATTTACTGATGTACACAAATAATATAGTTACTTTTTGTTCGTGTTGGAAGAGTTTAAGTGCGGTTCTTTCAAAACTCATATAGAAACTGTTTGTATTATCTTTAAAATTAAAATAAATTGGGCACCATCCAATAACAGCTTACTCTCGCAAGAAAACGAGCTTAGACACAGAAATAAAATAAAAAATTTAAAACAAAGCGTCAAAGGAAACTGGACACTAAGCACTGAGATGCTACGTGTTTTCGATACAGCAATCTTCTTCTTCTTTGGGTGCCGTGTCCGTATTCAGACATTGGCCGTCATCATGTTTACAATTTCCTGAAACCTTTCTCTGTCGGCTGCTGCGCGAAATAATTTTTCTACTGTGAAACCACACCATTGTCTAATATTACGTAGCCATGAAAGTTTCTTTCGACCAATCCATCTCTTTCCTTCCACTTTTCCTTATATTATAAGGCGAAGTATTGTAATGGTATTTCGGTCCTCTAATTATATGGCCAAAGTATTCTGTTTTTCTCCTCTTTATGGTGTTTATGAGCAGACGCTCTGAATTGATCATTTGAAGAACATCTTCATTGGAAGTGTGCCAAACCCACGATATCTTTAGGATTCGTCTATAGCACCACAATTCGAATGCTTCTAACTTGTTTAGCATTGTGGTTTTTAACGTCCATGTCTCACAACCATACAATAGGATCGACCACACATAACATTTCAGGACCTTCTTACGAATATTCATTGACAGGTTTCTGTTGCATAAAACTGGTTTCCAGGTCATAAAAGCCTTACGTGATATTTAGATCCTGGATATTATCTCTTCATCAGAATCACAATTTACATTTAACCAGCTGCCAAGGTATTTGAAATGATTTACCCTTTCTATCTCTTCTTCATTAAGAGAAAGCAGACCTTGGTCTATATGGATCTTTCCAACTGCCATCCACTTTGTCTTTGAAATGTTGATTTTTAGGCTTCTCCGATAACTTGCTTCCTGACTAGATTTAGTAATGTTTGGAGATCTTGTAAACTTTCTACAAGAATGGCTGTATCGTCAGCGTATCTAATATTGCTGATTACTTCTCCACCTAGTCTTACTCCCTCTTGTCTGTCATCCAAAGCCTTCCTAAAGATTTCTTCAGAGTACAGATTAAAAAGAGTGGGTGACAAAACACAACCCTGCCGTACTCCACGTTTGATGGGTATTTTTTCAGTGGGACTGTCTTTAATATGGACAATGGATACTGCAATATGGACTTGAAATCTGGATATTGTAGCAAGAACACATAAATAAGTTTCAGGTCTTTTAAAATATGGTGTTACAGGAGGATGCTTAGAATAGCATAAACACAAAAGAAAACTAACACGGAAGTATTGCGAGAAATTGGCAAAGAATGCGAAATAATAACCACAATAAAAATAATAAGGTTGCAATATCTGGGATAAGTACTCAGAAGACAGCGATATGAACTGCTAAGACCGATAATACAGGAAAAGATTAAAGGAGGAAGGAGTACAGGAAGAAGGAGAGTGTCATGGTTGAAGAATTTAAGGGACTGGTTTAAATGCAGTTCTATAGAACTCTTTAGAGCAGCAGTAGATAAAGAAAAGATAGTGATGATGATATACAACCTCCAATTGGGAGACAGCACTTAAAGAAGAAGTCAAAGGAAAATAACATTATCCAGAAAAACAAAAACACAGTCTCTGTTTAGGCATTGAATTACAAATGAGAAGTGCTTATACGAAACTAAAATTAAAATTATATCGAAAGAAAACAAATATTTTATGTCTTGGCATTAGATCATGAATGAGATATATGAAAATAAAAGTATACTTTATCCCAAATTACGTAATTTATTCACATTAAAAATTAAAATTATATATTATATCTTTTATATAACATAATTTTAATATATATTATGTAGATATTTATGTAATTAAACCCATAATAAATCACTTCACTGTTGTTTAGTTTATAGTTAATCTTCATTATCCAATAAAAAAAAATTTAAAACTGGTAAAAACTGAAATATCCAAATGCTTGTGTTGCTTGTAGAGAGGATATAATTTTTTTTATGTGTGTGTTTTGGCTTGGACAATTGTCATTCAGCCAGTCTCAATCAAGATAAGTGTATTATGTAGTGTGTGTGTGTGTGTGTGTGTGTGTGTGTGTGTGTGTGTGTGTGTGTGTGTGTGTTTGTGTGTGTAGAGTAATTGTCTTGATACTTAGCAAAGTCGACGTCATTGTCTTTGCTAAGAGACGCTAATTGTATCCGAACGTCTGCGGTCCCTCCGGTGTGTACCGATCACAGAAGGATAGAAATTATTTTCATTTATTAATTTTTTTAATAAACGGAAATTTCCACCCAGGTGGGATTCGAACTCACGACCTTTAGGTTTAAAGGCAGGCGCTCTTACCACTGAGCCACAGAGGGGGTTAGATATAATTTTTATCAACTAGGTACTCAGGCTAGGATTTCGAAACTTTGAATCTATCGGCAACAGAAACATACTATCCACCATAAAAATATATAAGATTGGGCTACCAAGCAAACGAGATATACTACAAAAGTCACTTATACCAAACAACGGTAATTCTTCGAATTGTTGAAGGTGTCACATAATGCTGGCAAACGATACATTCTGGTTTCAGAACTTCTTCTTCTGGTACCGTCTCCACTAATGAAGGTTGGCTATAACCATTACAAATGTGTCTCTGTCTTCTGCTTTTCTTAAGAGCATCTGTGTGTTTAAACCGATCCAGTCGCGAATGTTTTTTAGCCAAGATATTTTCGTCTACTAGGACCCATGTTTTCTTCGATTTTACCCTTCCTAATTAGCTATAACAATTCGTACTTATCATTTCCTAGTATTTGCCACAAATATGCTGTATTTCTCCTTTTAATGGTGGTCAAAAGTTATCTGTCACTTGTCATTCTGTGCAACATTATTTCGTAATATGATCGGTCCATGGTATCTTAAGTCAACACTAACAGTCCAGGGTTCGACAACATAAAGAAGAATAGAGTGGATATAACATTTTACCATCCGATATCGGATTTGCAGATTGAGTCTTTGGTTACTCAGAAATTTCCTCATCTTCAAAAAATCTGCTCTTGATTGCTCTATTCTTAAGCGAATTTCTGATCTCGTATCTAGATCTTCCGTAATCCAGATTTCTAAGTATTTCAGTTCGTCCACTTGCTCAATATCTTCATTTTTTATCTTAATCTTTGTAATGACTTTACCCCTCTTATTGATAACCATGGTTTTTGTTTTCTTTATGTTTATTGTTAAACTCTTCCCGAGTATCACAAATTGCATTTAGTAACGTCTGCAGGTCTATCTCACTTTCAGCAATAATTACTATATCGTCAGCCTAACGGATGTTATTTATATTTTCACCATTTATCTTGATCCCTTCTATACAGTTTTTAAGTGCTTGAGTAAATAACTCTTCGGAATTTATATTAAATAGTAATGGTGAAAGTACATAGCCCTGTATCACTTCTCTACTTATCTGTTGCGCATCCGTGCTATTTCCATCTAATGTTACTACAGTCTGTTTTTTTCCAATAGAGATTTCTCACTATGTTAAGTTTAACTTTTTCGAAAGCTTTCTTATATTCTATAAATGCAACGAGAAGATCTTTTTGTTGTTTTCGACATGTTTGCGCAAGAGTTGTAAAACTATATATAGCTTTCACTGTTCCGAAGCCGTTACGAAAGCCAAACTCTCTATTACTCATATTCGCTTCGCACTTTTTGAATATTTTTGCATGTTCAATTTAAAAATGTTCAAATGTTCCATGGAAAAATCTTTAATATATTTAGTCAATACTGCTTTATTTTAATTGGGTTATTAATAGATTTATTGTTTTTGTCAATTAATCGGTTAAATGTACTTGTTTGTGATTTTCCAGATAATTCTTTTACTTTTTTGTAGAAATTATAATGATCATGCTTTTTCTGCAATTGTTTCACTTTGATGCATGTTTCCATATCCACTTTTTTAGCCTCTTGTTATTCCTTATTAATTTGTGTTTTTCTCTCTACTTTTTTGAGTTTTTGTTCCTCAATTGTCTTCTTTGTTCCATGATTTCCAGTATTTTT